ATTCCGTCCAACTTTTCCTTTTCCCCACAATCTCAATCTAACTTTTCATATTCCAAAAGACGGGCCTAAATGAGAATCGGCACAGCAGCACATAATGGAATAGTATGTTCTCATCCACCCCCCATAAATCTCCTTGGAAAATAAGAAGGAAAGAAAAAAGGGGTAAGATATAGATGCATTCCCATCACATCAATAATATAATGGGGCGGTTTGGAATCCGGAGCGTGGCAACGTTTTTCTGTCCCAATAAAATTGAATTGGTCGTATGTGTGCCATGGTAGGGAGAAGCAATAAGCAAAAAGCAAGAAACAAAAAATGCATGGCAAAAAGAGCCAACAATCCCCATTTGTACCCTTGTAATCAAGGCCGAGGATAGAAGGTATAGGAGTAAGAAATTAATAGTTGCAACCAAGATCCTTGCAGACAAGAAGGGAGAGTGTCCTAAGGAGAGGGAGGTGGACCCACCGGCGATCAACCACTTAGAGCTGTCAAGCTCAGGGAGGTGGACCCAGGGGCGATCAACCACTTTGAGCTGTCAAGCTTGTATGGGGCCTACCTCATGGAGGAGAGTCGTCCTTGACCGAAGGAAAGAGGAGTGCTGACCAAAGAAAACTTTGATCGGACCAGGACCCGACCTGACCCATTGCCACCTCTGGACCCGGGGAAAAGGTATGATGGTGAGGGGAAGAGGCTTGTGGATCCTCGCAAAATATTGGAGGAAATACACCTTGGCTTTAATTTGTAAGCGAACCTTTATCAAGCATGTGGCTTATGTAAAATACGTGCACCATGTTTTTATAGTCATCAAGTGAGAGACTTGTATTATTGTGCCTCAACATTACCTCTAGCTCTTCATTCCCACTGTTCATATATCAAAGACAAATAAAGGGCACGTATATTATATTCCCTTGGGAGCATAGTTTGCATTTATTCTCTTGGTCAGAAGACCTACTTAGGAGGATATTTTTTATTTGAAGGTTTGCGAACCACTTAAGAATCATTAAATCCATTATTCTTAGAAGAAAAAATTTAAAATTTGAGTTTTCTAACACTTAGATCTCATCATCTAAAAATTGGCCGTCTCTATTCAATCTTGAGATTTTCTTCAAGCGTGCATAGGGTGCAATTAGGATTTTTTTTGTTTTTTTAATTGAGGTTAATCTATAGGTTGAAGAGGTTACATCCCCAAAAATTGGGGCCCTAATGCTAATCCTAGGTGGGGTTTTATCTAAGGCAGTAAATGAACAATATACTCCCGAGGGAGTATAATATCTTTTGGCAACAAAGAAAGACCCTTGTATTTTGTGCTTTAGAGACTGCGTGCTTTCGCGCGACCATACACCCTAGGGTAGTAACTCAAAGTTTGCAGCACCACAGGTTGGGGATATTTTGTGTCGCTTGAGACCAATGAATCCAAATGTTCCATCGCCAAAATACAAAGTCAGTTTGATGTATCCCCTCAACTTCAAAACCATTTTCACTCATCTGGTATGAAGCTCGAAAGATCACCAAATCAGTTATTCCAAAAGTGTATACTATGGTCTCACGGGACAACATTTAGAAAGTTACGGCCCTCTCCGGAACCCTTACTCAAATGTGTACAATTTGAACACACTTTACTGTTACTGCCTCAACTGCCGGTCAATATGCCTCACACGAGGAAATATTTTTCAAATGGGATGGTTGTAAAAGTGTTATTGACTAGTCTCAAAGTTTAAAAAATTAATTTTGAACTTCGTAAAATATCTCAAGCCATCCAATTTGACATCTAATGATTAAAAATTAATTTCGAATTTCATAAAACTTCTCAAACCATCCAATTTAACATCTAATGGTTAGGAGTAATTGTGATCTTCTTATAACAAAGATAATCAGTCCCATATTATACAATCCCTTTGGTAAAACTACTTTTCATTAGGAATTGTTCAAGGTATAAGTTGTCAGGGTGGCTGGTTCCACATCATGATGTCTTGCGTTCTATTATTATTATAGGTTGGGAACCCCTTCCCCATTGATCTACCTAAAACAAAAAAAAAAAAATTACATCTTGAATAATACTATTTAAGTGTAAACACCAATTTTTTATATGGGTGCAACTTTATATCATTGAAGTAAGATGCACCTCAAAAATCATCTAAAGAGAGTGTTCTGACATTGGAGGACACTTCAATTGATCATCTCGGCTTCAAGATATGTGGATATGAATAAAAAACGAAATTTCAAATGTTAAAAATAGTACGTCTTGTAACATATTTTTTGAACCATCTATTTTCAAGTTTTTTAAATGTTTATAGATCTGCTCGATCTTTATCATTTTTCAGATTTTAAATTTTACAATTAGTATAGAATAAATTTTTCAAGCCATGATAAAGTTTCCAACACCGAAACTACTTCTCGAAACAAACTTTAAAGGTACGCCTTATTTCTATAGTATAAGGAGGGCGCCTCGTACAAACCTCACCCTTTATCTAAATAAGACAACAGATAAAGTAAATTTGGAAGTGTCGTGACTTTTGAGGTTTACTTTTCTGGACTTCTATTGATCAGGGGCCTGGTAAGAGATTTTAATGTGGATTTGGGGATGGTTGCAGGTTGGAATCCGAAAAGGGCGCTCTACTTAAGGGTGATTATGGTTCAATCTTTTAACCTTAATGGGTAATGGAATCCCACCTTATTCCAGTGTTCCTCATCCCCATCTCAAAAAATTTTAGTAAATGTCTTGTATACTTGCACTGAAAAACACTAACTATTATTTACACTCAATGTTTTTGCTCCAAGTGTCTATTTTACAAAGGGTACAATAGTAAGTGTTTCAAGCAGTTATTTAAAATTTTGAACAACAACAAACATTTATGAGAACAAAAAAAGATATCATGTGGATTTTCACAAATCTGACAATTTTTAAATGTGTTTCAAGCAGTTATTTATAAACCTGATCGGTGACCTGGATCAAGCATCACAAAAATCGATGTGGATCAGTGAATCAGTGGCCCAGAAAAAAATAGCGAACCGACAAAAAAATGTGTAAAAAAACAACGAACTGGCCAAGAACCGGTCTAGATCG